CCTGGCGCCAGTAGTGCGTGGGGAGGCAGTCGTCGCACTTGGGCCCCGCCGCGCCCTCGCGGCACTCGCAGAAGCCGGTCTCGTTGCACCGGTCGTGCACGGAGCCGATCTGGTTGCAGTTACACTCTGGACGGACACGTGCACGGGCGCGCCGTCAGGGGACCTCATCCCGCCCGGCCTCGCGGCCCTCCCGGCCGGGTCTCCGCCTCCCCGGGTGATGCTCATCCCGTGAGCCCGCGGCTGGGCGGCGCGTAGGGACTGCCTCGGGTGTCCATACCTTTTCCCTGGCAGCCAACACCCCCTCTGCGTCCCCTGGCCCTGGCGCCCTGCGGCCTGGGCCAGCCCCTTCCCCTCTCTGGGCAACTGGCAGGAGTCTTGATCCTTCCCAGCTTCAAAGAGCCACGGCTCTGAGGTGGCAGGGGCCTCATCAGAGGCCACCGAGCATCTGTCCGGGGTCTGTGGGGTGTGTGTGGAAGGGGTGGCCCCGTCTATAGCTCCTTTCCAAGGCGGTGGCCCCAGCCCGGTTGGTTTCCTTGGGCCTGGGTGCTGCGGGAGGGGGTGAATGTCCTGCTCTTGAAGCCCAGTGCTGGGCCTGGGGGTGGAGGCAGAGACATTCAGGGTGAGAAGGAGGGTGCTGGGGTGGGGACACCTAGTGCTGGGCCTGGGGGTGGAGGCAGAGACATTCAGGGTGAGAAGGAGGGTGCTGGGGTGGGTGCTGATCGGATCCGGAGGCCGTGTCCCTGCCGCTGGCCAGGTGCGACATTGGTGGCAGAATTCCATTTTGATCACTTTAGAGTTGGTGGAATTACCTGAAGGCTACTGCCTAATTCAGACCCCCAGCTCCAATTTGGGGAGCCCCTCCTCTATGGCCCGGCTGGCCTGGGGGCAGCGGGTGGAGGTGGGCAATGCAACTCCATGGGGGCTGGCTGGGCAGGGGCGGTGGCAGCCCCTGAGGCTGAGACCTGGCCTCTACTGGAGACAGGGGCAAGGCTGGGGGGCAACCCTTCCAGGCTGGTGGGATTCGGTTGGGGGTCATGGGCTTGGCCATTTGGAACGGTCTGTCCTCTGCCCAGGGCCCCCATGGGTTTCCTTCTTCTTTACCTCAAAGCCAGCCCTGAAACACAGCTTTAAAGAAAGCAGACCAGGTGCCTACCAGGGGTGGAGGGCAGGGGTGATCTCTGCTTATAACGCATTTAAGAAAAGCTTCAGCAACAAAAAGGGTTGAAAACCTTTGATCTGATTCACTTCCCAATTTTACAAACGGGGAAACCGAGGCCCAGAGAGGGGAAGGGACTCACACAAATGCACACAGCAAAGTGAGGTCTAGAACCCAGCCTTTGACTCTAACTAGACGTTCTGCATCTCCAGTGCTTGCAGGAGAACCGCATGGGAAGGTTAATAACAGAGCAGATTCCAGAGGCTTCTGTCCTTAGAGATGCCCAGCTGGAGTGGGCCCTGAGATTTGAATTTCTGCAGCCTCCCCAGATGATTCCAAAGCAGGGGTCCCCTGGCCCCACCCAACACTGCCGTGCACACCCACTCCAGCGCCTCCCCTGTGTGTGCCCGGGGCAGCACCCACTCACCAATGCAGACATTCTCATCGTCCAGCTCGGCCGAGCCGTTGCGGTAGTAGCCCAGGCGGCAGTGCTGGCAGTGCTGGCCGCGTGTGTTGTGCTTGCAGCTGACACAGGTCACCACATTCAGGAAGTCGATGTAGCTGCAGCGGTTGGAGTGGCCATAGCACTCGCAGTCTGTGCCAGCCAGGTGGGAGAAACACAGATGGTCAGTGAGCATTCGGGGAAACTGAGGCACAGGGAGAGGAAAATCCCAACCCAGGACATGCAGAGAGGGAGGGAGGGAAGCATCTTTGGAAAAGGACCTTGGAGGTGCTCTGGGCCTCCGACCCTTGTGTGGCATTTGGGAAGAAACAGGTCTGCCAGCTTTGAGCCCAGCCCACGAATTCCCACCTGGCCCTGCAGGCGGGAACCAGGGAGGCCAGTGGGCAGCAGCGGCTAGGGCTTGGCCGGGTGCCAGGGTGAAGTGCTCTCTGAGGGACGCCTGCGTGCCAGGGCGACAAGGAAGTGATTCATGCAGGGACAGGGGCATGCCACCAGACTGTGAGCTTGGGGAGGCAGCGCCTGTCTTCCTGGCGCTCACCACTGTGTCCTCGGTGATGCCAGGGGTGGATGAATGCGCAAATGGACACCAACACGATGGGATGGGCAGGAGCTTCCCCCCATGCTGCTTTGGAAGATGGGTCGGAGGACAATGCCCACCAGCAGAGCCCTTTCTTAGCAGCCTGAGCTTTCTGCAGATTTGGTTGTTTTGCAGGACCCTGAGAGTGAGTGCCACCTTCAGGCTGGTGCCCTGGGCATCTGCTTGCCTCCCCCTGGTCCTCCTGGAGGCACATGGCTCCACACAGACAGCCACCTCTTGTGTACCCTGCTGCCCCCCCTACCCCACCCCCATGTGATTCTCAGGCCAACCCCTGACAAATCAGCTCTGCCCTATGGACTGGGCAAGTCCTGTGACCGCCTGGCGCAAGGCTTCCAGGGATTGGAGGTGGATCCAATTGTGAAGGGGTGGGGCTTGGTGAGGAAGGTCACATCCCTGCTGCAAGAAAGGGGGCCATCCCCGAGTGTCCCCCTTAAGGGACCCAACACGCCTGAACAAGATAGCCAATGCGGCTGCCCTGGACAAGGAAGGACTTTGGCCACCCTCTTGGAACACCATCTGTGTCTCTCTAGAGGACCCAATCTCCCTTTTGTGATGGAACAGGGATGGACTGACCAGACCTCAGTGGTCAAGGGCATGAAAGACCCTGGAGAAACAGCCTGTGAGATGTGCCCAGGAGAGGCGGTGGCATTCCCACCAATGGGCCTCCTGGGTATGCCCCCTTCACCTAGTTCCCCCCGGGAGACAATGAGGAGATGAGGCATCCTCCAAGCGTTCCAAAAAGCAGCATTGGTGACCTGGGTGTCCCAGATTTTGCTTCAACCAAGATGAGCCCCTGGGCCACACCTCCCAGGGGAGCCAGGACAGGCTATTTCTGGCAACTGCTCTGCCTGCTGAGTGTCTGCCCACTGTGCCCAACTTGGCTTCTGAGTCATACCTGTTCCCAGCTCCCTTGGGGAGGGAGGACTGTGGGGAAGGGAGACTCAGTTTAACCTTGACCCAGCTACTCGGGGAGGGTTTTCTGAGCCAGGCATTGGGCCTCCATTGTGCATCCTTTGTTTCCAGCGGGCATGGGGGAAGAGATGCTGGGGAGAGTTGATCTGGCCCCAGGGCTTTCCTCTTACCTTGGAATTCTTCAATAGGCATCACTTGAGGAGATTTGGGCTTGAGCTGGAAAAGTTTGGAGCCCTTGGGAGGGGCAGGGGCAGCAGTGGAGGTGCCCGCAGCTTGGAGAGATGAGAAACAAGCTCTTCCATCTGCCATGGTCCAGCTGCCCAGGGCGGGCTGTCCAGGCCCAGGGAAAAGCCCAACAAAGGCTTCCAAGGCACCTTGGGCCAGCTCTGGGGCAGCCCTGTCACGTGCTCAGATTTGAGGCAGGGAGAGGCCTGAGTGGCCTCAGAGCACACAGCCCCCAGCAGGAGAACTAGGCCCCTCAGAGCCCAGGGACTTGCAGCACCGGGCTAAAAGTGACAGGGCATATCTATGCACAGCTGGAATCAGCCTTGCCTTTGGTTTCCTCTCCAACACCATCTACACATCTGGCTGGATTAATCCGCCCAAATGACTCCTATATTCCCCAATACCCCCCACACCGTGCTGAGACCTTCGCTGCTGCTGAGCAACTTTTTGGCTGACTGGAAACATGGCTCGGTCGGCCCTTCTGCTCCCATCTCCCCCACCCCCAACTCCCTGGAGCATCAAGTCCAGAGCCTCAACCTGGCATTTAAGACTTTGGTCTCTCCCCTCCTTTCTGAAGCCATCTCCCCACTCTAGCCAGAGTGACACATTACCATCCCCGGATTCCCTCTCACAAGTGTTGTCAAGCCACGAACCCGGGCAGTGCCTGCCTCTCAGTGCCCGGAACCCCACGGGCAATACCCAGCCCCGGACTTCTGCGTGAGCAGCCACTGGCCTGGGAATATCATTGCCTTGGCTTCCCTCTGGGAGCCTTGGTGTCCCAGTCAGTCCAGGGCAGGGAAGTGATGGCCTCAGCCTGCTCTACCTGCCCTCATCACCAGCGACATTGCTGGAACCTCAGACCCTCACTCAGTGTGGTCCCAGCTCCGGAACCACTTGCCAGCAGAGGGTGCTCAAAGCCCTGCTTGCTGCTCAGAGCTGGGGCTGGGGGGACCTTGAGGCTCTGGGCTGGGTGGTTGGTGCAGGGCTGCTGTCTAAACAGGGACGTTAGGGCCTGGTGTCCAGGGAACAGGTGAGCTGAGGGCAGGGACAACCTCCCTTCCTGGAGAGTCAGGCAGGCCCTGCGTGTTTCCTGTGTGTGCCATATGTGGCTCTAGACAAGCCCCCACCTGTCTCCCCATCAGGGGGCTTTCTCCATCCCTCCCTGCCCTGGTTCAACCGACACATTTTCCACTTTGTCAGGCTCGCTGCAGTCCCACCGCCAAGCCTGTGCCCCAGCTGTCCTGCCGCCTGGAATGGGCTACCTCCTCCCTTCCACTACTGTGACCCTCCTTCTAGGTCCCACTGCCCCAGCTCCTGCAGGAAGCCTCTCTGACTCTCTCTGGGCTCCATCGGCTAGGCAGTGGAGCCTGGGAACGAGGATGGCCGGCTTCGACTCCGAAGCCCCTGGAGGTAGGTGAAAGGGCTTGGGTTTGGTGATGCCACACTGGGCCTCTCCAAGCAGGTGAGAATTAGGGGTGGGGGCAAGTAGAGCCCTAAGGACCCTCCCCTCATTTCTCTGTCCCCCAGCCCCGTGAAGCTGTCATTCTACGCCCCTCCCCTCAGATCCCACGGTTCCCCTCCCAGCTTGGGTCCCCACCACGTACACCTGCACCTCCACTACAGCGGGAAGGGCACGAGGGTCTAAGAAGGAGCTTCCTGGGGCCTAATGCGCGTCCCAGGCCCTGCCCCCATACCTTCCGCACTGGAGGACACCTGGGGCCAGAGGGGGCTCTCCAAGAGGGCGGCAGCCGTAGATGGCCTGGTCCACTCTTGGGGGGAGAAGAGAAGAAACCACGTTATGCGCAGGGTGGGGCAGGGGCAGCCTGGGGAGGCCCCGCAGGCCCTTATATAGCAGCAGCACTATAAGGAAAGGCTGTCTACACTGGCCCAGAGAACTGGGTCCAAATCTACTACGGAGGCAGCGTCTACACTACTGCAGCCTGTGGAGGGCACACGCAGACTTGAAGCCAGAGGGGAGGGCCCCCGTGCCCGAGAATGTGCGTGATTTGGGCAGCCCTTTCTTCAGAGGGACACCTGCCTGAGACTCTTCTGTGCTCTCTGTGCGGTCCCTGTTCCAACTGAAAGGCACAGTTAGGCCAAGTCCCTTACCTGGGCCCAGACCTCTCTGCGCTGAAGTCTCCGGCTAATGGCTGCAAAGCCGGACTTGTGCTCTGGCCCATATATCAGACGTGTCCTCGAAGGCCTCCTGCCCAGCCCCAGTCCAGGGACCACAGCCTCCTCCAGCATGTGCCCAGCCTCCCTGGCCCCTGGTTTGGGCCCATTTTCATCAGGGACCCCATCATGCATCCACCCCCAAATGCCACGGTGCTCACCTCCAGGACTAACTGGACATGGGGCGAGGAAGGCAGGCGGGGCTGGCAAAGGCCGGGAACCGACCGCTCTGTGCCGAATTTCAAAGGACAAACCCAGAGGAACAGGGCAGGGGGCTGATGATTTCTACTTCTTAAAGGGATTGAGCACAGTGGTGGTTGGTCGGGAAAGAAAAAGAAAATCCACCAGCTAAAAAGTACGAGAGACTTTTCAGCTGGGAGCTGGGAGCATGGACATCAAATTGACATTAATATGGTGTTCAATGAGGAGACGAGGCCACCGGACCCAAATTGGCAAGGGCTTAATCAGAGCCCGTAAAACCAGCCCTGAGGCATTTTGCCTCGGAGCCTGCCTCTCACCCGCCTCCGTGGGCCGAGCTGGGGACAGGATTAGTGGTCTCAGCAGCCGTGCCCTCTGGACAGCTTGGCATTGGCAGGAGGGAGAAACACCGGAGCCCGGGGCTCAGAGGCCCAGCAGGACTCTGGCCAAAGAGCCCGAATCACCTGTTGAGAGGCACCTGGAGAGACACAGGACCTTTCCAGGGCTGGGGTCCGTGGGAGGAAACGACCCCCCTGGGCCCTCCAGGGCCACACTCAGGTGTAGGGAGAACGTTCTGACATCGGCCTGTGTCATGTGCCAAGGCCAGATGGAGGCCCTGTCTGTTCCTTTGGAACTGGGGAGCCATGCAAGCCAGGTTTTAAAGTTGGCACCGCCTCACAGCCCTGACACCTCCAGCAGGAGCACTGGGTGGCTGAGGGGTGCCCCGAGTTCAAGTCCTGCCAATGCATCTCCACCATCCTGTGACCTTGGGCAGCTGCTGCTTTCTGTTTTCCTCTTTTAAAACAGCTTTACTGAGAACTAATTCACATACCATAAACTCCAGCTGCTTCTTCCTAAGCCTCAGTCCCCTCACCTGTGGGACCAGAAAATAACAGCCTGCATCCCGTGGAGCAGAGAGCAGGAAACAGGATAAAATCAGCGCAGCTCTTAACCCAGGAGAAGCCCTCTCTGCACTGGCTGGAACGACTGTCTCTGGGAACGGGGCTCCAGGTGTCCTGTGGGCACCAGGCGGAGGCTGCAGTTGCTACAGTGGAGGCGAGGACCCCCAGATGTGAGCTGCTCAGGCCACGGACTGTCACCCTGGAGTCACCTCCTGCCCTTAGCACCCGCCACTGCCCGACGCAGGGCACAGGATGCGGAGCTGACCCCGTGCTCACTAAACGTCAGCTACTGCAGCCCGGGGGAGGGCGCGCCTCCCGCTCACACGGCCCCTCTAGACTCGCCACACTGGCCTCTGGCTTTTCCTCCTTAACTCCTGACCTCACACAGTCTGCCCTGTGGCCGCCCCTGCACCAAATGAACAGCAGCTCTGGAAATGGACTCAAGGCTCCTCAATTGTGTGTGTGAGTGTGTGTGTGTGTGTGTGTGTGTGCGTGCGTGCGAGCATCCAGTCCCCCACCCAGACAGGCCACCGTTCAGGAGCAGACACAGCGCCTGCCATGACTATTTTTGCTCCCGTCTGCCCGCCACAGGCTCAGCCAAAAAGCGCAAGTCTCCTGCAGCCGGGCCAACTTCTGTCCCAAGCCCATGATTCTCAGAGTGACACCCTGTCCTCCACCCCAGGGAGAGTCCTAGGCCAGGAGGTTCCCCTGAAACCCCCCAGTCTCCTGGCTGACCCCGGCCTCCTGCAAATGCTGCCCGTGGAGAAGGAAGGATGCAGAAAGGAGAAGAGCTGTGGGTGCCGCCCCCGGGGGGCTGAGCAAGGCGGCTCGGGAAGGGGAGAACCTCCTCGAGGCATTCACGCCACCCCCACGGGCCGAGGTGGATCCCTCCCCCAGCCGATGGAGGGGTCAGAGAGAGGAAGGGTCAGGGCATGGCCCAAAGAGTAAGAAGCCTGTGCCAGGTCCTCCCTGCAGGATGGAGGCACACTCTTGGGGCACCCCTCCCTGGCTGGGCCAGGAGAGTAACACCTTGGTCACCATCTTCCTGGTAACCTCTGGGAAGGAGGGGCCCTTTCAGACTCCTGGCCCCTGCAGTGGGCACAGCCCAGGTGAGGCCAGAGCCCAGCCCAGCGCCCCAAGCCTGGAATACACCCAAGTCCTGCATCCAGAGGGGAAGCAGGATCGGGCAGGTTTCCAAACCCGTCTATGGCTGCAGACCCCTGTGGGTGGGCTGCTCTGGTTGACGTGGGGAAGTCTGCGCCTTGCCTGGCCCTGTTCCCCACACCCAGCCCCCAAATGCCCATATTGTAAAACCCCAGCTCCAGAGGCTCCTTCTGTCTTGCTCGTTGGAGAAGTTTGTCTTGTTGGCTAACCCTGCTGTGTCCACACCCATGGGATTGGCTGCTGAGGGACTGGGGACAGAGAAGCCCAGGGTGGCCAGGTGGGGGTGGGGCCTGAGCCGGCACCATGGGCCATGGAGGCAGGACCACCAGCGGGAGACAAGGCCTGTCTCTCGCTCTAAGTGGGGGTGGCCTCACTGCTCCGGGCACCCCTCCTCCCACGTCCCCCTATCCATTTGGCCACATTGGCCTTGGGGCCCCTTCCAAGTAAAGCCTCGGGAGCCCTGAATCCCTGGCTGGGGCTTGGTGACAGGTTGGTCCAGATGGCCTGTAGGCCCCTTTGGCTCCAGGCTCTTGCAGCTCAAGGGTTCTAGAGTTCTCTACTCCTAAGAGCCAAGCTCCCCCAACCCCCACCACCACTAGAGGCAGGAACTCAGGCTAGAAGCAGGGGAGGGTGGGACAGCAGGGGTCACTGGCTGTGCCCTGGCACCCACCTGTGGGCTGTGGGGTGCTGAGGGCCGTGGGGGTCTGGACAGTGGATGTGGAGGGGGCAGGAGTGGTGGCCCCCCCCCTCATGGCCATGGTGGCCACAGGGGCTTTGGGAGCAGGGTCCTTCTGGGACCTGCCGTTGCCTGGTGAGAGAGGGGACAAGCAAGAGAGGGTGGTGGTGTTGACAGGGTTTGGGGCTCCGCAGAGAAGCAACTTAGGATGGCTGCACAGTTCAGCACCTCTTCTAGAGTCCAGCTTCCTTCTGGCACCCTCTCTGCCCATGCACAGGGAGCCGGGATGGGTGGGGGCGACTGTCCGATGGGGTGCGCCCCACCCCGAGCCCACCTGCTGGCTGTTTGACACCAGCAAGTCTTTTCCTGCTGACTCTCAGAGCAGATGACAAGTTCCACCTCCCCTCCCGAAGGGGGCTGCAAAGGCTAAGTGAGATGCCACGAGTGCCCCACTCTGCACGGCGCCAGGGCACAGAGTGCTCAATGGACAGTCTTGACGGTGACCTCCTGCAGCTGGTGGGCTCCCTCGCCCGCCCTCAGCCTTCTCGTGAGTTCTCAGGACTCCCCCACCCTCCTGCAGGTGCCACTCTCTGATCTGACATGCCCTGGGACCTGAGTCAAGCTGGATGACCAGTGTCCTTCAGAGGCCACCTGGAGGGAGGCTGCTCCCCACGGTCAGGCTAGTGGGGGGATCCTGCCACTGGTCAGGAAGGTGGTCACCTCACTCTTGCCTGGCAGGAGAGAGTCTTTTCCCAAATCTGGGAATGAGAAGAGGTCCTGCTGGGGGAGGGGGTCAGGGAGTCCCCCAGGGGTCAAGGGGACCTGCAGAAAGTCCCGTCCAGCTTTCCAAAGCAGCACTAACGAAGCTCCCGGGGAAAACCCGAGCTGAGCGCTGCCCAGAGCCGCCGGGCCACAGGCCACAGCCAAACAACACACCACGAAGGCGAAGGCGGGCGAGAGGTGGAGAAGCAGGGGGCGTGATTAGAGGAGGGAGCAGAGAGGCCCAAGGCCCAGAGGGACATCCAAGCCCCTTCCTCGCTCCTGCTCCTTCCAGGACGTGCAGAGAGACTCGTGCAATGGGGCCCCCGCCGGCAGTGACCCAGGTGTGTACTTACTGCCAAAGGCGGAGCCTGCTGCTGCACCTGTGGGGAGACAAGAGGGTCACAGAGCTGGCTGTCCAGGAGGAAGGGGTCTGGCTGAGTCCTCCCTGCAGAGGGGGCAGAGAGGGGGAGCACAGGGAGGCGTCCCTCCCTCTGCTGAAGGGAAAGAAACTCAGAGGTCGTGATGGACCATCCCGTCTCATTGTCACCGCGCCCTGAGAGGGGGGAACCGCTATTAGCCCATTTTGCAGATGGAGAAATGGAGTCACAGAGCTGTGACTTACCCTCGGGAACACGTTGAATAGTGCCAAACTCCACTGGGAGCTGCACACGCCCCCTCTTATTTAATTCTGGACTTTCAGGCCCTCCTGCATGGGACAAGGAAATCGTGCACGGTGGATTCCTACCTGGGAAATGTGGGAAAGGCTGGACAGCTCATCAAAGAACGACAGTGGCTGCCACGTGCCAGATTTCCTACAGGCAGGCCCCCGTCAACAACCCCTGCATGAGCGATTTCATCCTCACAACAACCCCGGAGGGTGTTTGCTTACGGCCCTGATCCCACAGATGAGGAGCCAGGGCTGAGGAGCAATGCGGGTGTGAGTGGCAGAGGCGTGGCTGGAATCGGGTCTGTCTGTCTGTCTGTGCCCCAGGGGACGAGGGGGCCCTATGGCCTGGGTCTGACCAGGGGCCTCACAATCCCAGGGAGAGAGCTGGTGCTGTGGCTCCCCCCAGGTGTTCCTGAGAAAGGACGCTGTGGTGTCAGCAGTGGGACATGTGCACACAGACCTCTCCCAGCTGAGCCAAAGCTGTAGCCAGTCCCGGGAGGCCCCAGGGACGAGCCACCTGACACTCACTCCTTCCTTCACCCACATGTCCAGGCAGGCACCATGTGGGACCCTGTGGCCACAGGCAAGGACAGGGGTAGTTACCAAGGAAGGGACAGGCAGAACGTGGGGGTGGGGCACGGGGAGGCAAGGTGACCTCTAGACAGGGTCCTGGAGGGTGAGGGGTTGGGCAGAGAGGGACAGAGAGGTGACGAGGATGTTCAGGAACATGGACGTGGTGGGTGTTTGGATTTGGAGATGGGTGACCCCGCAGGGGACTTGTACGTGGAGGGGGCAGGGAACTGGAGAGTTAGGATTTTATTCTGAGGGCGCAGAAGGTTTTGAAGCAGGTGTGTGCCCAGGGGAGGCAGGGACAGGCCCAGAGAGCAGGCGGGAGGACCGAGGAGCCATGGGGAGACAGAGCAGGAGGTGGTGGGGACAGAGGCAGCTGGGTGGTCCCAGGCCTGCACCCCTGGGTGCTGATGCCACTCACTGAGAAGGGGTCATGGGGCGAGGGCAAGGTGAGGGCAGAATTAACCTGGGGCCTGTTTCCATCTGCGTCACCTTGGGCTGATTTCTCCTGGTGGCCCCAGAGAACGTGGATAGCCGGGTGAGAAAGCTTTAGGCTGAGGACATGGGGCACCCCGGCCTCACCCTGCCCCGGAGTATTCCAGGGGAAACCCCTTCTTCCTGGGGCGTGGGTGTCTCGCACACAATTCCTAGAGGCTCCTGGGGAAGGGGTGGGGCAGCTCCAGCCGCCGGCCCCTGCAGGGAGCGGGGAGGAGAGGCCTGGCCCCGCCTGTCCATGCTGGTTAGACGGGAGGCTCCAGCTTGGCATGGATGTGGGGACAGTTGGGCCCCCCATGTGTGACCTGCAGGTAAAAGTGGGTGCCCAGGACATGGACAGAGAGGAGACCTTGCAGAATCCTCCCAGAAGCAAGGGGCAAGTGGAAGAAAAGAGCCAGAAGTGATGGAGAGAACAGAGGAGGTGGCGGAGGGGGAAGGAGACGGAGGGGACAGAGGCCTGCAGGACCGATGAAGGGGAGGGGAGACTTCATGTCAGAGAGGGAGTGACAGCTGCTAAAGAAAGGGTTCCAGCAAGGGAGGGTTTGGGCCACAAAGTGGTGGGGACAGGAAGCTGGGAGGAGGCAGCGGGGCGGCTGTCAGTGCCCACAGCACTCTCGGCACCTTTGAAGACCTGCGAGTGCTGTTCTGTGCCTGGCAAGTCATCCCTTCAAAGGTCTGTTGCTCTGCCAGCTCCGCGGCACGCACGACATGCCTGTCACAGCCTCCTCGACACACAGCTTTCAGCTTTGATCAGCCTAAAGTCACATAAATCTTTCACCTGTTGAGGGAGGGTGCCCAGATGGGCTGGACAGTCTCGGCTGGCTTTGGCATTGGTCCCAGGAACTGGCTTTGAGTCCCAGTGCTGTGCGTAAGTCGCTGTTAAACCTGGGAGGGCCCTGAGGCTCGCTGGGCCTCGGTGTGCTCATCTGGAGAGTGGGGTGGTAGTAACACCACGCCCCGCAGGCTTGTTGTGAGGGCTGAGCGAGACGGTGTGGGGACAGTGCCCGGCAGCCCGAGGCACGAGCATGGCACTGACAAATGCCATAGGTCACTGAGGTCAAAAGAGGGTGGGCCAGGGGAGAGCTCACCCCAGGGCCAACCTAGGCCCTTCTCCACACACAGCCTGGGGACTCCCTGGGACTCATGAGTCATGGAGACACCGTGGGCTATGCCGGGGTGTTCATGAGCGGGGGATGGCTCTGAGGAGGGATTTGTGCAGTGCGCTGGGAACACCATTGCAAGTGCTCGTCACTCCCTGCCCTCCCAGGGGGCCTCCTGCTGAGCCTTTGGGGTCAAGAAGGGGAAAGGCAGGATGCAGGTGTGCTGGAGGGCCTTGTTGCAAGGCCTGACACTAGAGAGCAGTGTAGCAAGGTGTGTGTGCATGCACGTGTTTGTGTGCGCACGTGTTTGTGTGTGTACGTGTGCATGCTTGTTTCTGTGTGTGCATGTGCGACCCACACCTCCTGGGGCTGAAGGGCAGGGGGACACAGCCGCTGGCTTGCGGCCCGTACGTACAGGCGTTGGGGGAGCCGTGGGGCAGCGGCAGGTAGGAGCCGGCCCGCCAGGAGCGGGTGCGGAAGTTCTTCCTGCACTTGCCGCAGTCGGGGCCCGTGGTGTTGTGCTCGCACTCACACTGCAGGCTGCCCTCACGCGGGGAGCACAGGTTGGCGTGCAGGTTGCACTTGCACCTGGGGAGACACAGAGGGCAGAGATGTCAGAGAGCTCGTGGGCAGGCCAGCCGGCCCCTGGGGAGAGGGGAGCCCCCAGGAGGGTGCTGGGCTGGCCACCAGTCCAACGTGCACTGAATCTCCTTTGTGACAAAAACTCCTGGATTCCCCGCCAGTCAAGGGATCAACACAGTTTTGAGCCCTTTCGCAGCCTGATGGCTGCCCCCCGACTCCGCACTCTCCTCCTGGATGGGGGTTTCCAGGATTTCCTGCATCTAGGTTGGGGTGGGGGGAAGAGATGTGGTTGTCCCAGAGGCTGTGTTCTTAGTAGCAACAGCCTCTGATCAACTTAGCTCCTGACTGAGGTGGGCTGACAGGTGGCAGCTGGTGACCCATGCCCACGCCCAGAGAACCCCCAAGTCCCGAACCCCTGTCAATTCATCCACATCCACATTATACCTCCCTTCATTCAAATATTTACTGGCAACTCACTATTCTGAAAATTGGTGAATAAAGGACAAGAATCAAGCATTTATCTTGGCTGTCCTGTGTAAACTGAACCTCAGGGTAAATAAAAGTTGATAAGAGGAAGTTTCTTTTTATAGAAGCATTTCATGTAGAATTAGCAGCCCCTAATGAATGAATGGCCCCAGGCATTGGACAGCAGCAGCCGGGAACAGCACAGAGAGAGACAACCAGAGAGGCTTCCCCCAGGAGAACACACGCCGCCCCGAAGCCGTCTCGCCAAAGCGGATTGGACCTGAGCCGATGAGGTGTCCACCCACGGCTACGAATACACAGGAAATACACTGGGCAGAAAAACACACTAAACAACACCAGAGGCACCAGCAAAATCCAGACTAGAGGAAACTCCAGAAGGAATGACTGGTTTGTTCAACAGATGAATCGTGAGGGACAAAATCCGACAGGCAGGGAGCAGGGACCTAGATTAAGAGAAACCTCAGAGGCGTATCAAGCAGTGGCAGGTGTGGATCTCCGCTGATCTTGGTTCAAACAACCTGTAAAATCAAACAAATGGAATGAGAAACTTCTAAAACATTTCTATTTGGACACTGATTATAATCGAAGATATTAAATTAGTGTTTATTAGGTGTGATGATAGCATTGTGGCTGTTTTAAAAAAATCCTTATGTTTTAGAGATACACAGAAAAATATCTACAGATGAGATTTTTCTAATGACTGGGATGTGCTTCAGAATAACAGAGAGGGGAGCACGGCGGGCCACAGATGGAACAAGAGGGCCACCAGCTGACCAGCGAAGTCAGCGACAGGCTCACGGCGGGTCATTAGAGCAGATTCTCTCTTCTTTTCCGTGTGTGTTGTCTTGGAGATTCCCTGTAACAAGGAGTTAGAGAGAGAGAGAGAGGGAGTACTGTACATCCTTTATGGGAAGACTTCCAAGATATATCGTCAATATTTGGGAAAAGCAAATCACAAAACAACGTGTTTAGTAGATTCCTATTTTTATTAAAATATGTGAAGAGAAATATTTATAGGGCACCTGTTATGTGGCAGACTCAGCTGTGAGTGTACCGAGTATACCGGTCCACAAAGTAGATGGGGTCCCTGTTCTGATGGTGCATAGGGTCTCGAAGGAAGACAATTAAAAAATTAGTGACATGGTGGTGGCAGGGAGGAAAGACCAGCAGATGGAGCACAGGGGAGTTTAGGGCAGTGAAACTACCCTGTTTGATGCTGCAATGAAAGATGCATAACATTATGCATATGTCAAAACCATAGAACCGTACAACACAGTAAACCGTAATGAAAGCTGCAGGCTTTAGTTAATAACAGTGTCAGTAATGGTGACAAACACGCTGCACCAATGCAAGATGTCAGTAACAGAGGAAACTGTGCAGGGGACGGGGGCAAACGGGAACTTGCTGTCCTATGTGCTCAATTTTCTGTAAACCTAAAACTGCTCTGAAAATACAGTCTATTATTTAAAAAATAATAATCATGCAAATCTGCAATTGGTAATTTCAATTGTTATAAGTGCCCAAGTTTTATTCAAAGGAGAAGATATCAGGGGAGTCCTAACTCAGGTCTTGGGGGAGCAGAATAGGTTTCCAAGAAGAACAGTTTTAAACTAAGACCTGGTGGAGGATCGAGAGTTGCTAGATCAGAAGGGCAGAACCTTCTAGAAAGAGGCAAGAGCGTGCGGGAAGACCCTGGGGCTGAGAGGAGCTCAACCCAGGTGGTCTGAGCAGAGGCTCCGGGNTGCGGGAAGACCCTGGGGCTGAGAGGAGCTCAACCCAGGTGGTCTGAGCAGAGGCTCCGGGGGAGGAGACGGCATGAGGCGGAGGCTGGGTTTTATTCTGCCAGCGCCAAAAGTCACGGGAAGGCACGACATGTCCTGCCCTGGTTCCTATTTCATATTGCTGTGGCAGCTCCATACAGAGTGGTCTGCCTGGGGTATATATCGTCAATATTTGGGAAAAGCAAATCACAAAACAACGTGTTTAGTAGATTCCTATTTTTATTAAAATATGTGAAGAGAAATATTTATAGGGCACCTGTTATGTGGCAGACTCAGCTGTGAGTGTACCGAGTATACCGGTCCACAAAGTAGATGGGGTCCCTGTTCTGATGGTGCATAGGGTCTCGAAGGAAGACAATTAAAAAATTAGTGACATGGTGGTGGCAGGGAGGAAAGACCAGCAGATGGAGCACAGGGGAGTTTAGGGCAGTGAAACTACCCTGTTTGATGCTGCAATGAAAGATGCATAACATTATGCATATGTCAAAACCATAGAACCGTACAACACAGTAAACCGTAATGAAAGCTGCAGGCTTTAGTTAATAACAGTGTCAGTAATGGTGACAAACACGCTGCACCAATGCAAGATGTCAGTAACAGAGGAAACTGTGCAGGGGACGGGGGCAAACGGGAACTTGCTGTCCTATGTGCTCAATTTTCTGTAAACCTAAAACTGCTCTGAAAATACAGTCTATTATTTAAAAAATAATAATCATGCAAATCTGCAATTGGTAATTTCAATTGTTATAAGTGCCCAAGTTTTATTCAAAGGAGAAGATATCAGGGGAGTCCTAACTCAGGTCTTGGGGGAGCAGAATAGGTTTCCAAGAAGAACAGTTTTAAACTAAGACCTGGTGGAGGATCGAGAGTTGCTAGATCAGAAGGGCAGAACCTTCTAGAAAGAGGCAAGAGCGTGCGGGAAGACCCTGGGGCTGAGAGGAGCTCAACCCAGGTGGTCTGAGCAGAGGCTCCGGGGGAGGAGACGGCATGAGGCGGAGGCTGGGTTTTATTCTGCCAGCGCCAAAAGTCACGGGAAGGCACGACATGTCCTGCCCTGGTTCCTATTTCATATTGCTGTGGCAGCTCCATACAGAGTGGTCTGCCTGGGGTCAAGAGCCAGGGATGGTGGCCCGGGCTGGGGGGAGCATGCTCCTCTGCTGGCTCTCATCAGCTGAGAGGCTGCTTCCTGAATGTTCGGCCCTGTTTCTTCTCTCGCTCTTCGTCTCCCCTCTCTTCACACCCTCTCCCACTGGGCCGGAGACACCTCTTGCCTGTCCCTCATCACACTCCTCCAGCCCTCCCAGAGCTTCTGCGGCTCCTCACGGTGCAGGCCTGGCTCCCACGGCTTCCCTCCCCGGGTGCACCAGCCCCACCAGACCCTTCTCCTGCTCTCCTGCCTTTCCTCTCCTCACCTGTCTCCATCTGATGCGGAGCCAGGCTGAGCACGGGGGCTGGCCTTCCCAGGCCAGGACACGAGCGGGGGAGCTGGTGGCCCTGTGTCCGGCAGCCCCGCGGCCCCTCTGTCCCACCTGCTGGCTTCCTTCTTGCAGTCTTCTTGCTGCCCTCAAATTATCCTGCAGAATGGCGAAGGAGACTACCACCTCCAGGGGGTGGGAGATTACTATTAAGTATCCTGTTGTCGGACTATTTCAAGCCATGGAGAATGTTCCTAACAGGAATGAAAAAGACCACGGTTGCCGAGTGCTCACTGAGTGCCTAGCGGGCATCTCATTCAATCCAGTAATGGCCACGACAGGTGGCACATTGTCACTTCACATTACACATGAGGACGTGGAGGCTGAGAGAGGTTAAGCCTCTTAGCCAGAGTCACAGGGCTGTCCCCAAAACGTGGCTGGGATGGGAACTCAGAGATATCCGACTACAGAGTCCCAGAGGTTAACATGGGACAGAACACAGAGGACAGAAAAAGTAGGACACCAAAGTGCAGGTACTGTAGCTCCCAGTTGTGTCTAGAGCATACATATCTGCACCAGAGCACCAGATGCACCTCGGTGTTCACGGTGGCTGTCTTAGGTAGGGTGGGGACGGGACTGGAAGTGACGTTTATTTCCTTCTCTGTCACTTTTCATGTCCTCTGCAGTGAGCAGGTGTTCTCTGGTATGAGCAAATAACAAGTCTCATTTAGCAGAGCGCAGAGGATTTTCAGGGCGGTGCAGCTGCTCCGGATGATACCGTAATGATGGATCCATGTCGTTACACATTTGTCCAAACCCAAGGAGGTGCACCACCAGGAGTGGCCCTCACGTGCACTGCTGACTCCGGGTGATAATGATGTGCCAGTGGTGTTCATAGGCTGTAACACACGCACCGCTCCGGGGGAGATGCTGTCAGTGGGCGTGGCTGTGGGGGGCAGGGGACATTTGGGACTCTGTACCTTCCACTCAGTTTTGCAATGAGCCTAAAACTGCTCTAAAAAATAAAGTCTGTCATTTAAAAATGTTATTTAAAAAGGCAAAGTCAGGCCAGGGTGAAGAATGCAGCTGGCTTCTGGGCTCAGGCCTTTCCTCCAGGAGAAGCGAGCCCTTCAGGCCTCAGGGGGCTGCTTGGGAAACCACCGCTTTACATCGCACACTGTCTGCTCCTCTGTGATGCTCGGTTCCCCAGGCCTTTCCTCCAGGAGAAGCGAGCCCTTCAGGCCTCAGGGGGCTGCTTGGGAAACCACCACTTTACATCGTACACTGTCTGCTCCTCTGTGATGCTCGGTTCCTGAGACTAAGG